AAATATTGCCTCAGCATGATCAATTATCTATAGTCCATTGGTTTTCAAGGCTACGAAGAGTCACCAGGTGCCAGTCCCGGGACTCGTAGGAAAGCTAGTACAACGCCAAAGCCGTAGAAAATTTGGATCTCGCTTGACTCCCATTTTCACGAGCACATCCCGGACTATCAGTCCATGAAAAAAGATCAACATTATTCTATTAGTAGATCAACTTGCGGTTCGAATTTGAAACTATCTATACATTCTGTGTTTCTAAACGAAACCCGTTTTAGCTAAAATTGGAGCGAACAACGGTATAGTAACACTACATTATAACGGCAGGGCCCCATTAAATACAATTGTGAAATAAAGTAATGTTTCATGTTTCCAAACTTTTCACACCTATAGATAGATGCAGGATTATTTATTGAGGTGAAATTTGCAGAACTCTTGGACTCAAACTAAAAAAGAAGTGAAAAGATGATCGTTCACAAACAATCAGTTTTTCTGTAACGCAAAACGATGTCATCGATAGATTTCAGTTATAATTATTGCTTTAATTTTCCTCTTTTTTAAATTAAAAATATTCATTCAGCCGTTCCTAAGAAACTCCATGCGCAGTACTAGTCAAAAAAACCTTCTTTTATAGAGTTCTGACAGCAAAAGGTAGACCGGCACACTACGTTTGTTAAAACTATTTCCAAAATAATCCAAGTACACGGTTTGTGTTCAATCTGTTAGAACTGTCAAATGAGATAGAAATGAACTAAATTGAAGAATTCTCAGAACGCGAATGTATTAGTTGAAGCCTGGTTTCTTACAGGTCATCTTTTAATACTCTGCAGGATACACTATTAGAGAAACTATTGCTTCTTTCTAAGCAATACCAGATATCTAAACCTTACATTAATAAATGTATAACAATCGTCATTATCTCAGAGCCTATAGGAGTATACTAGTCATCTGAATTTAGCTCCGTAGCAGTCGGATCGAACACAATAAAACTTTATCAACACATGTTGCAAACAAGAATAGTCAGTACAATGAAGACCAAAATTACATTCCGTGTGAGTACATATAATTAGGCATGTAATGGTTACGGTTATTAACCGTTAATCGTAACCGTAAATAACCGTTCGAACGGTTAAGGGAGGATCCCCCCATTTAAATTTTTCTCTAACGTTCCCAGTTTGTAGAGGACACTTCGAAGTATATGTCCTGAAGTTTTTTCCGTTCACTGACATTTTGGCTAAGAGAAAAATTAATTACTTAAAACAATATTGTTAAATTTTTGAACAAGAGGTTATTATTAAAAGAATTCCTGTCCATTCTCCATTCATCATAAAAGCTTGGTTCTTGCCTAGATCGGTAGAGAAATGTGTGAAAAATATTTATTACAAGAAAATATGCAAGAATTTTTGTTCTTTCCTTCTTGGTATTGGCTAATTAGTACTAATTAACGTTAATTTAGCCTACTCTACTAACATAAAGTCTTATTTGTAAAAAAGCAATATAACAAAAAGATTACAAATAAAGCTTAGATTCAACAAGAAGATTCAAGCAATATCTCATCTGACAGAGAATTTTACGGGCTACAATATGGATTACCTTAAGAATTTTTGAATTCGTTTTTGATCGGTCGGTAAATCTAGTAAGTCCAGAATTTAACAATATTGTTTTAAGTAATTAATTTTTTTCTCAGCCAAATAATTTCAGTAACCAGAAAAAATTTCCGAACATGCACTTTGAAGTGTCCTCTACAAACCGGGAAGGCTTGACGAAAAAATTCAAAACTTGAAAATATCACTGGCTTTTGACTCAGCGAATATTTTTTCACTCCACCTTGCGGCTAGTTTCGCTCGAAGGAAGCATTCTGAAGCAAAACTTTGGGTGCAAAAGTTGTTCAAAATCGAATTCCGGAGTCCCTCACGAGAGCTTTTTTTAAAATTTTCTGTTTTTGATTTTTAATTTAAATTTTACAGTTTATAAAATTTTAAAATTTCATATTTTTCAATTTAAAAAGGAAAAACAGAACATTTTAAAAAAAGCTCTCGCGAGGGACTCCGGAATTCGATTTTGAACAACTTTTATATCCAGAGTTTTGTTTCAAAATTCTAGGGAATAGGTAATCGACTATGAGGAACCCGAAAATGAGTATAAGGGACCTCTCGTACGCATTCTATTAGTCAGAACCCTACTTTTGATTTGATTGGATGAAAATGAAATACAATAGACACTTGACTATGAGGAATCCGAAAATGCGTATGAGCGGCCTATAGAACGTATTCTATTGGTTAGAAACGTCCTCTCGGATTCCGGAATCTCATAAACACACTATTCAAAGAGAGACAAGCAATGCTTGTTCGCTTATCGTGAAGGTTTCGATCAAACACTTACCTCGTACAACGGGTGATGCGAGCGTTGGATAGTGAGAGTGAGTCATGGAAGCCTGGAACCCTAGGCCCGTAACGAAGTCTCGTACAAAGACGTTCTTGTGTCGACGTGCTATTACTGCGCACTAAGTTGTTATTAAGCGGTTATTTACAGTTACGGTTAACGGTTTGACCGGTTATTTGCGGTTACGATTATGCATGCCTACATATAATATGTATATGTAATTGTACCAGATACATTATTTGACAACTACCGTACGTTTTAGACGACTACAATCGTGTTGCACTTGCCAATAAATATGCATCTAAAGAGTTCTATATCAATGCATCCAAAATTGGTGTAAGCCAGAAGTGTTAATAAAAGACAACAATCTTCATATGATTCTGTCACGTAAACGACAGTCTCACTCGCTGATTTTCTTATCTTTTGTTTTAGAATGTTTATAAACCTGATTTGGTTATACTAACCCAAGAGCCTACAAATGCCACTTGTAGTGAATTTTGTTTGATGTTGCTGCAAAACTATAAGAAACTGATCGTATCAGTTGAAAAAGTATGAACCAGTCTCTTTAAAAAAAGAGTTTTCTCAGAAAACGAAAGTGGTTCCGAAACTCTTTTGGAAATCCTTTGGAATTCGGAAAGTGACTTTGAAAAGCGTTTCAAATATTTCGGAAACTCAAAAAATTCTCCCTCCTCTCACTTTATTTGGTACTCTCTAGTATATACGCTGCATTCTGTTTTTTTCGGGTTTTGTTTTCGAGGACAGAATGCAATAAGAAATTTTGCTCCGATATCTTGAATATACAGCAAGTTCTCATTGTCTAGGATTACCTAACATGAAATCAAACTGAAGTATATCACGAAGATAAAATATTTTTTACATTACGACGCGACATAGTCGGAGGAAACTCACCCTTTGATGATCCAAGTGCTCATTTGCCGCTCAGTCGTCGTCGTTTAGCGTGAGGGTAATATATTATCTGAAAAATTAGGTGTTCTTACTGCGAGAATTTCCTGTATGCTCACCGCAGAATGTTAATAGCTTAGAGTAAAATTTTTTGCCCAGTAGGGATCGTGATATCATATATGTGTCTTTACTCAAACTGGAATAGGGAACTTTGTGTCTGAATTAATAAATAAGCTGTTTTCAGTCTTTGCAGATGTTTCAGTGGAGAGTTAGGACGTTCGAAAATACGTGATTTAAACGTCTGGTACTTGTAACTTTTTTCAAAAGACATCGATAATTAATCTGCGTCATTTATGTGCAGGTGCATTTATAAGAGAGTACGTTCCTATACTATGTGATTCATTTCATGACAATGTTTTTATATGTATTTAGCGAATAATTGACGCAATGCCTAGTCTCTAAATGCATTACTGTTTTAAAGATGATTAACGCAGTAAGATAAAATCTCTAGGCTATAACAAAGGTTAAAGCTTTAGACTGATAAATCATTATTTGAACCTCACAACTCTCCCCGACTTCAGTAATCAGAACATTTTTTTGTCATGCAGGTAATCTGCACTTTCTTCATCAGTTATGTGGTAAGCCTGCCGTATGTTATTAAACATACTCAGTTCTATCCCTAAATACTTTTAGAAGAAAACTTATTTCTCTTCTCTTCTGAAGACCTTCTCAAGCTTCAAACTTGGGAAAAAAGTGTCTTATTCCAGTATATAACCTACAGTAGAGATGTGCATGGGTACCATTTTCGTACCCGTACCCGACCCGAAAATTTTTTTCCACTAGTATCCGATCCGACAGTTTTGTACCAGTACCCCACCCGACCTGAGAACTTTGTACCCGTACCCGACTTATGCCTAAAACGTTTCTCCTTTTTGTTTTTCGGCTGAAGATGTCAAATTATCATTATATTCTCAAGTAATTCTTTTTTAAGTCTTTGTGTATTTTAGCTAAATTCCTGTATTTTTTCACTAAAATTTTGTGGGTTTTCCAGTGGAACCTTCCAGTTTTGGGGGAACTTAAATGAAAATAGAACCCGCACCCGACTCGAGGGTGGGATACGGGTTGGGTTGCACATCTCTAACCTAAGAACTTTTGTGTTCTGTCAATGTAAACCATTCATATATTCTGTGGGGCACCTTTCGAGGTAGTATATCACTTTTCAACTTCGACTATTTTCATCATATAAGGAATAGTGAGCAGCGATAAATCCCCAGTTGGTTTGTACCCAGGTGGTTCGGAGTGGAGTTGAAGAATAAATATAAGAATTCCAAAACGTTTTGATTAAATTGGAGCTCGACATCGGCAACTGCTCGGTGATGGGAGCTCTGATCGAGCTAATCATTTGAGTATGGACTTATACCCAGCGCCTATGTATGACAAAAGTTTGAGCCGGTTCGCGCTTTCCCGACGAAAGATGCAAAGTTTTTTCTTTCTTTGAAATTTGTTTATTTTTCTTTGAGTAATTGATAAACTAAAAGTCGACAAAGCATGCCAATGTCGAGCGCCAATTTAATCAAAACATTTTGGAATTCTTATATTTCGAAGGGCCGACAAGCAGTAAAGCTCAAACTTTCAGATCTTTATGTTCACTAATACTACCAGCCGCAATGAAGATATGAGCTCAATCGGATTTCGTTTCGTTGAGAAATCAAAGAATCACCGGCAAAACTAAGCTTCTTGAAAAAAACTTGAAAATTCTCCAACTCCACTCCAAAGAACCATGGGCACAAACCAACCTGAGGTTTTTCACTGCTCACTATTCCCTACATGATGAAAATAATCGGAGTCGAAAAGCGATTTATCACCTCGAAAGGTTCCCTCGTAGACGCAACCAGTTTCCTGTAAAATTTTGAGAGTAGAGTTTTGGGTCAAATAATTAGCTGCACCAAGCAAGTACCCACTTGCTAGTTCTAAGCAGATGATCCAGTGAGCGCTTAACTAAGCGATTAGCGTCCAATTAAAACGTATCAGCTAGCTTTGGCTGCGTTTTATTGACGGTTTTCGAGTAAAAAAGGAATCGAGAGGAAAACAGTACCCGAAAGCAAAAATGGAGTTAAGAGAGTTCGGCAACAGGTAAGTATTTCCAATAGTCTCATTATCAGAAGGTTGTGTCGCGTTTCTCAGAAAACGTTTTTTAGAGAGTGATAAAATGATTGTCACGTTAGAAAATTCTGTTTCAACAAAAAATCTCCATGAAATAGAAAAACATGTGAAACTTAACCTTAAAAGAGAGAACCGAAGATTCACATCTTTTAATGTGATAACATTTCCAATATATGCTCAAGTAAAAATTACATTATCACTGTTCTATTTCCAGATCAAAGTGAAATCATATTCTGACCATTTTCGCCATCTGCTGGACGGAATTGTTGTCAGTCATATAAAATATGAAGACCGCAAGCCCGTCAACTACATTAGAGTGCACAAATTCAAGTTACAAGAGGTTCACTCTTATTTTTTAACTGATTCTTCATGCTAAAATGTCCGCTTCTTTTAGACAGGATTTCGTGAAGATGAGATAACTGTGTGTGAATATTTGGGTGAATGGTCAAAGAAAAATGTTCCAGTTAATCTTGTGGAGTTTGTGAGATTTATTGATCGATCGATCTTGTTGCAGAAACAAGTCGATCCGACATCGCACGGCTTGGTTGTTCATGACCGGTAAAAAAAGAGAACTTTTCAACTGTAAGAGTGTAGGCTCTACACTCCTTGTGCCGGGCACAAATATGGCATATTGTTCCAATGAACCATTTCTGATGGATCCTTCTCCACTCAAACAAAAGTATATTTTTTATTTTATTTAATAGCGTTGGTGGTAGTAAAGCAGCGTTCTATTGCATTGCTAAAAATCTAATCGATCGTCTATTGATTGATAGGCGTGTATCTGTCGAGAATTTTGCCGCCGACATTTGTCAACAGCGAATGAATGCAATTGAATATATGGTAAAATATCATCATTTCGTTATTGTTAATTTTCTCTATATATTAAATTATTTAGGAACAATATCTGGCACTTTATGATGCCGTTTGTATCTGGAATGAATTGTTCAAACGCCAAGCATTGCTGAATGAATCAGTATCACAGTACAGCTAGTTATCATTGTCAGATATACATTCTTTTGCTAAAACAGTATAGGTTAAATGACGTTGTCCTTTGATATTACAAACATTGTTTTAGTAATAAGGGGTGGAATAAAGTATGACTATTAAGGAAATGACCAACACCTCAGAAAATAAGTGCAGAAATCAGAATTACTTTGGAGAATTATACATTCTGGAAAAATAGCATTTTATACGCCCATTTCACATTCGAACAGTCCAGCCGCTTGTGTTTTTTCGTTGGTACGCTTTGTTGTCAAGTTAATGATAAGAGTAGCATATACAAGTATAAACTATAAAAACGCGATTTGGTTTTTATTTATTTTGTCAAGCAGATCACATACCATCTGCGCAAAGGTAATTTGGATGATTCGTTCACAAGAACATCTCAGCTCTCACATACAAAGTCGTGTATGTCGTGTTAGTAACTTTCCGGAAATATCCGGCAGTAGAGTCCCATGCTTTATATCCCGTTTTGGATCAAAATATATCCTGAGCGGGATATTGTCAAAAAGCTTGTAGCCCAATTGGGATATAAATTCGGTTTTTTTGAATAAAACTCGTTAGCGAAAAAACGATGATGTTCGCGGAAAGTTTGACCATTGAATTGAAAGTTTTCGGATGCGAAAATTCGTTCAAAAGTTTAACGTTTTAAAAATGCCAAAAGTGTTTTTATCAATAAACTTCTAGCGACTGATATGGTACGTTCTATATCATCTTTGCACTACAAGTGCCACATTACCTGACTAGTTTTGAGTGGTTTTAAGCTACGCCTCTATTGTAAAGAACCTACATCCCGATTGGGATATACAAAAAGCAGATACCCCGATCTGGATACATCTTTATATCCTAATTGGGATATATAGCTCGATCGAGATATGCTTCCTCACTGCCCTGCATAACTCTAATTATTCAGTTACAGACAGTATCCGCTACTTATTAATCAATCTGTAGGGAGTGTTATAGTCTAATGCTTTGGAGAATAACAGGTGGTATCTGCTCTATTGAAAAAAAGATCAGTACGGCTGTACTTCTATCTGTTTGCTCAACCGCAATATCTAACTAATTTGGACGGTGTTTTAGTAAAATGTTTGTTTATCACAATGCTTCGAAAAGTTAGTATAATATACGAACTAAGGAATGTGGAAGTACCTAATCGTCTCAAAAACAGAAGGCTTATCCTTCTGCAAACAATCTTTTTGTCTACTACGGATCATTTATCAGTCCTGCATTCTTTTGAACTGTTCGCTCGAGTTTATTTTAAAGATTGGTACTCTTTATTGGAAACGACTACACAGAGTGATGAGAAAAACTAAAGCCAAATAGATCATGATGCTTTTGTGAGGACATTCACCATGGAAGACAATAATGGCAATATATCACATGTTGAAAAACGTTTTCTAATCTCATTCAAGAATTTTCTTTTTTCAATCAAACTGACTAAGATTACTAGACATTTTGATCTGACTTACAAACAATTAGCTTCTTTATCGTGTGCACTAACAGTCCGATTCATTTTAAATTATGATTAACTTCATAATCGTGATTATTTCGCTCACACATATATTTTTAATCGCAATCAAACAGTTTTCATCATAATTATAAGAGTCGCGACCAGACACAGTACGTTTTAATCATCACCAAATTCAAGGCTTTATGATTGAGACCACCTTTTCGTAATGCTTATTAAACAGAGTCAAAAAAGGAAACGGTAATGGCTCCAGACATTGTAAGTTCCGCTTACAAATTCTTTTGGGCAAAATTCTCGAAATTGAATCAAGTCTTACGAGGTACACGACGTCGTGCTTAGTTAAAATTCGTTTAACTTCTTTAAAAAGTTCAAAATGGACTGTTTCTGTGCTGTCCTAGTCCATTTCTGCGCATCAAATCTCTTAGAAATTTCAAATATAAAAAGGAATTTGAAAATAAATAGTTCACAAACTAAAGTATATTATTATCTAATTGAAGAGATAATAACTGTCACTTTTGGTTACCCACACACAATAGAAAAATTGTGTGTTGGTAAATGTTTTTCTTTATACTCACTATTCATGTCTGATACATCGGTTTCAAATATTAATGCTACCTAGGACATTGAAAACTGCCAAGTTAA